ATACAAGGATATGTATTTATGTAAAATGCTATTTTATTAGGACCATTTCCAATCCCTCAGGTAAACTTCAACGAAATTTCAATGTGTTTGTTTATTATAATCCTTTAAAGATCTGTTTTTTTAAATAATAATTATATTTTAACACGATCATTAAACGGTCATTTTTTTCTTTAATTTCAAATCATTGTTGCTCAGTAAAAGTTCACTTTAAAAAATACTCCTGTAAGCTTTTAAACATGGTCTTTCGAAATTTGAATTTATGTTTTGATTTGCCTGTCGTATGGGTCAGTTCCTTGCGGCTTGAGTCGATATTTTTTGGCAAATGTTTAAAAAGACAATGTACATGTATGCCTAGCAATAGTAAAAATATTGCCCTCGTTCTTACGTCACAGCCCCATAGCTTCTGACAGGAAGAAAAAAAATCTTGTAAGACAGTAATAACACGACATTTAAGAGACGTGTAGATAAGGTATAATTTATTTATTATTTTAGATGTAAAATAATTGAAGTTGAAATCATGAAGTTTTATTATATTCTTATAGCATTTTGATTATCATATTATGTTGTATCTCTCGCATTAAGTTACATGTTGAGTTTTTTTTTTTTTTTTACTTAGAATTTATTTTTCTTGTCAAGCGTAAAAATTATAACAGTGTTTTTAAAATATTTGCAACGGTGTATTAGCATCCAAAAAGATTTTTTAATTAAAAAAAACTCTTACATGTTGGGGGAGGGGGAGGGAGGGGAATAGTAAAGAAAAGAAATGGAGACGATCTCCCCAAATAAATAAATGAATTTGGTACCTAATGTCATCTCTGTTAAGACTATTCATCCGTATATCTTCATTTTATGTATTCGATCTTTAGGAAGTGACAAAACCTTTGTTAATTAAAAATCTCTTAAGAACATTTACTTAATATACGGAATGTGTTTTTTTATTAAAGAAATTCGGGTGCATCGGTGGTTTTAACAGTATACATTGTATAACCCTCGTTCTATCTGTTTTGTACTCGAAATGGTTTTAGTTCTTTAGAATAAAGTAAAATTATCTCTTTGCCCCCAAACCCCTAACAATTCCTTGAAGACTAAGTTAAAATTGGGTAGTTATATAAAAAGAGAATCTTGCAAACCAAACATCTGATTTATATAATTTATCATCTTTAATACAATACAGTTGTTATTCAATTGTCTCTGAGAACGCAACTTATAGAATATAAAAAAAAATATATTTATTGTGCAATATGTCTTTGAAATTCTGAACGGGGTTTTAATGTATGCTTAATTCTCAGTCTGATACAAACATCAGAGGGGTGCAACCATTTCAGTTAAATAAACTTGACATAATCCGAACAATGTATTATGAAATGACTTTATTTGCAAATAAAAAGTTCACAGTCTGTTTGAGAAGCTTTAGAATAGCGTAATAGGAAAAGTTATATGGAGTTGCATCTTTGCCCTTTCCTAACGAATTTATGAAATGGTTAGGAGCAAGTATTTTTTATCGCAGTGGACAAAACATAAACTTGCATAAATCATTTACCAAATGTTTTGAATTGCTATTTTTTCAGATACAAGCTTTGATATGAAAAGACGTTGAACTTTTCGATTGTCATCAAAAACTTTGTATTGATATTGAGATTAATCTAGCACACTAAAAAGAGGCGAGACTTCTTATCCAGTTTCCAAACATATCTTAAGTCCTCCAATTTCGTTACTTTTCAATTTTTTTTTTTATAAAACCATCTCTGGCTTTGAACTGTATTTTTGCAATTTATAAAATGGTATTAAAGACATTTTCAGAATATATTCAGTCTGAGTAAAGAAACTTGGCTATTTTGTTTTTAAGAAAAAGCTTTTTTTAAAGACATAGATTCAATTCAGAAATACGGCCTCCAAAATAATTGTGCAAATATTTAAACTAAGTTTTAATTATCTTTAGAAGCACAATTACATAAATCGTATCGTGGCATTATCATTGTGACAAATTCTTTAACTGGTGACGATCCTTAAGTTAGATAGAACGACTGGGTCATTTCGACACTTTAATATACTTACTGACATATACATATTGTATTGTTTCTAATTAAAGACCAATTAACACAGCAATTTGTTCAACAAGTGCACAATTTCGGTGTTATCGATAACGTTCTTAAATAGTTTGTTACGTGTATAAATGTATCAGATCGGGAAATCTAGTTGGGATTTAAAATTTGCAAAGAACATGACGACCCCTTAGATTGCTCAAACTAAATGCACGACAGATAATTGGGAGAGATTAAATGTGTCTATTTTCTGAGACAATTTGGCAGTATACTTTACAAATAATTAACTAGGTCCCAAGCTTTAAAATAGATACTGTAGATGAATTGATGACGTCGTCATTCCAAAGAAAGACTGCAATGGTTTATGTATACATGTACGTATGCATAAGAACAGTTCTAGTTCAATTAAAATATATCGAGCGGTCTGTAAAAAGTAAGTACTATTTGTATATAAACTATTTACCCTTTGAAAATGTATGTTAAAGATAGGGCTTGAAGTATGAAAATTTGCTGAATATCGTATTGCAATGATTTTTCTTTCATTACCTTTACATGCAGTGTATTTATATTTATATTATACGTTAGCTATATCTAGAGCTGGTTGAATAATTCGTAATAAATACAGTTTCTCCTAAACTCATGATTATATTTTAGTAAAGTAAATTAGGATTTTTTCCCCAATTTTTTTCAATGGCACTTTTAGAAGAATATAAATATTGAATTAAGAATTTTAGAACTGCAAATATATAGGGTAATAAATTTCCCCGTGAATATAAGCAATAATTTTATTTGCACTAAATCTGAATGTTGAATTTTCACACACTTGATTTTCTGCTAAGAAGAAATATTTCAGTTCTGAAAAGTTGTTTTGGATTGCATATTTACCACCAGGAATGTAAATACTAAGAGAACCCAGGCTTCATATACATGTACGCTTTCCACGTATATCTTAATTAACAAAGCCTTTATGTACACTTAAGAATTTAAAATTCACTCTGAATATATAAGGACTGAACGTCAAAATACGTTATACAAACAAAATATTAAATTCACTCTTGACATGATCGGGTAAAAAAAAAAGATAACAATGATCATGGGGTCTTTATACTTATCGTCAGTAGGCATCAAAGTCTCCATTACCCCCACTTAAAGATACTTAAATATGTTCCTTTACAAATGAGAAATGCATTCCAATTCGCTTTTCCCTCGCTGTTGCCGATAACATGGGTCAAGGCGTTGTAAAACATTGAATTAAGACTTTCTAGATGGTACCGAAGAATCAACACTCTATGTTTTCTCCCTAAGGAGCAACAATCCCATGACGTTGGATTATGTCTTGTACATATTTTATGCTTTAATAATCATATTTAAAGGAAACAAGGCGCTTCGCGGAGAACACGCAGAAAAAGAGGTAATTGATTTTAGCAATTGTGCAACAGTTGGAATCCAGAAATGGTACTATTTTATTTATCAATTTGCGAAAGCCGCTTTTAGATTCCTTTTTGGGGGTATACATAATGCATGCATACTTGTATCGAATGTTCAAATGAAAATAGATAATTAACAATTGATTGCTTCATTGATTTCTATCATGTTTCTTACCGACGAAAAAACAATCGATGACAGTAATTAACCATAAATTTTAGGAATAGATTTAAGTGATATTTATAGAAAACGCATTACGTCACAATTTATAAACATCAATGTCATTTCAATATTAGGAGAATGTGAAAATAACCTCCACAGACTCGATGTATAAAACTTCTTGGAGTCACTTCTCTGCCTGAATCACAGTGTTGTTCTCATTTTTTTTTTCAAGAGTTGCCAAAAGTGTTTTATTCCATCATCTGTATATCTGATGCCTTTGTCTAAATATATTTAATATCACTGTCACGTGGTTCACAATACAAAAATTGTTCGGCACTCAAAAGATTTTTTTCATCCAGCGGATTTTGTTGTGCGTTAAAATTTCAGAAATTAAAAGTGTGGACTCTTTTTTCGATTACTTTATAAGAAAATATAATGAAGAAGATTTCCTTTCATTCAGGATATTTTTGCCACTATCTCTCAAAATCATGATCAAACTAACAGTCTGAAATTTATCCATCACTTTACAATTTTTGTTGTCGCCCGCGTGGCGCAGTGGTAGAGCGTCTGCTCTAGAGTCGCGGAGTAAGGAGTTGATCCTTACGTCGCGGGTTCAATTCCCACTGTGGGACGTGGAGACCGGTCCTTCGGATGAGACCGTATAAACCGAGGTCCTGTGTCGCAGTAGGTGCTGGCACGAAAAAGATCCCTTACTGCTCAATGGCCCTAAGTGCCGAGCATAGGTCAAAATTTGCAGCTCACCACCGGCAGTTGGTGGCGTCTCCATATGAGTGTAAAATTCTCGAGAGGAACGTTAAACAACAAACAAACAATAAAAAAACAATTTTTGTTAGATTATTCCCATCCACTTCGTTCGGTTTTCCATTTTTTTAAAAATAAATACTTTACAATGATTGATTTTAAGTACAGGAAATCGTTAATTCATAGCGGAAAGATATGCAACTGCGTTGAACGCGAAATAAATTCATATGAGAGTCAGTGCATGTATAACGACCCCAGCTTTTGCTGACTTCTGTAGAAAAGAAATTTTCTCAAAACGTGTACTACTTCTGTTTTCTTTTCCTGCATGTTTGTCTATTAGTCAAAACTAGCATTTCTTCAAAACCTTTGCAGTCTTTACCTTCAGTATCATGTAACGAAACAATTTCCTTTCAATCTGAATTTCAAATGAAGGGATGAAATCGGAAATGATAGGATAATTGACCAATCTCTGCAACTCTCGCGCGTGAGTTGCGGTCCATTCCAATACTTAATTCCGTTCTGTCAGTCGCCTTTACTTGCAAAGAAGCTATTCTGATGAAAAATTGCCCCCGAGATTTCTCAATTTATTAACTTTCGAAAAAAAGCCGAATTCTATTTTCAGTTGACGGTCCCCTGCAATTAGTAGTCGCCGAAAACTGGCAGATACGAAAAACTGGCCAATCATTTGAGAGCCTGATTTATTAATGCCATTAGTCACACTTGTGCGACTTTGCAATACATCACAACATGTAGCATTAGAGCGCGTCAAGTGATGATTGGATAAATGGAAACACAATTCAAGTTCCATCAACTAAGTAATGTCTTAATTTTCTCATCCTTAGATTCATCAGCAAGGCACGCCAGAGTTATGTAAAAAGGGCGTTTGTGAGAACACGCACGTTCGGTAAGTATACTTACAATATTTTGCAATGCTTGTTAAATACCCTTATAAATTTTTAGTCTTATTTTAAATGCAATTTTTATACATGAAAAAAATGCAAATTACGTTCCACAAATGTCATGAATGTATCCGTATTTAAATGATGTGTAGTTGCATTGTTAACAACCATTGCCATGTCTATCTACATTTAAGAAAATATATATGATGCTTAATCAACATCGATATATTTTCTTGTTTTGTATGAGAATCTGTGACAAAAACTGTTGTGTTAATCTGAGTATTTCAGGAGTATGTTACACTTTACTGAAAGATACTATCTATAAGAATTAATATACATTTAAAGAATGTCCAAAAGTAATTCTTTCCTAACGACTTATCTTCCCTACGTAATGACAACTTCATGTCAGATTAGATGACATATGAATGTGATATATATAGGATAAATCATATGGAATTGATATCTACTTAAAGTACTGCAACATATAATATCTGTATTAAAGAAATAGGACAACTACAAGTATATTTTGAAATAAGGGTGTTCATTCATCAACGGTGTCCTTGGTTGATGTAGAATAATCTAACATTCCTGCGACACTTCTTTCGTGATAATTAAATATGAAAACTATTGTAGCAACGGTAAATGTATAACAGATTCGTGACAATGTAATGCCTACAGGCACGGATCCAGGATTTTGCGTTAGAGGGGAGATATTAGAGGGCGAGGGATCTGGAAACGGCCAAGGTTCCCAGCTGGTTAAAGAGTCTTCCCGGTGAGGGCCAGGGTGCGAATTTAGAGATGCTTATTTTGACACATAAATGACTTCTATAAACTAAAGACTAATCTGAGTTTCTTCCAGAAAACTTTATGGAATTACGAAATAATTCTTTCCTTTTCTTACACGTAATTTGAAGAATATGTAAAAATTTATAAAAAGTTTCGGCATACATTATATTTTAAGTAATAATTCCCCCTTTCTTTAGCGAGTGAATTTCGAAGGGACCATGCTATGGCACTGATTAGATGGATTTTCTTTAAACCCTAACTTTGAAATACTATCAATTATGAATTATGTGTCACTAAATGTAATATTTACATTGCACAGTCGCTGAACTCCTCATAAAGTACTTGCTTTTCAGGTGTCAAAGAAACGCACATGTGACACCTCTTACATGTAAATACAAGATACGAAGTGCAAGTTACAGTCCATGTAAATTTTGGTATTAAAAGATTAACTGTGATTGATATTGTTTAATAAATACCTATGTATATTGATTTAATCATTATATGTTGTACTTTCAGTATGAAGAACATTTTCCTTTAATTACGGCGCTTTTAAGCACAAATATGCATGTATAATCGATGATAAGTGACTCTTTAAAATGAATTCTAAAATTAAAATACTTAATATCTATTCCTAAGATCTCAAGTATTTTAAAAAAAATTTTTAAAGAAAGTCATGAGGATTAGAACTTTTCATACGGATATGTTTCATAAACTAAAAGCGGTCTCAATCAGTTCAGCAGCTTTCTGTTGATAATCGAAAATATTACCTTAACCACGAACAGAGAAATACATGTATGTTACACATGCAAGATGTTACAATTATTGATTTAAAAGTGCATTATCATTTTGTTTTTATTTTAAACAGAAAAATGGGTCAACAAATCAGTGTAGAAACGTTATGTGGACAAGATGAAGACTTGGAGGGGCGATACTGGTGCAGTTTTGAACCTTATCCATATAGAGTCGGTGCTCGAAAGCTCTCATACATGGGGATACTGAACGGTGAAGGCCCACGGAGAGGAAAGCGATGTCTCGTGAAGGCATTCCGGCAAGGCTGTGCCACAAGGGCGGATTGGCATCATGAAAAAGAACGAGCGATGATGGCGAAATCTTTAGCTTTAGAGTTTAATAGAGAAATGTCCGAAATTGGTGAACGTGTGAATCTTGTATTCCATACTCCAATGCTTGTTGAAATCGACGAAGTTTCTTCATATATGTGCATAGCTATGTTTCTTGGCAAGCCAAGAAAGAAAATGAGAGAGCTCGAATATGTTTCTGTGGAACCGTATCTTTCTGGAAAATTCCAAAACTTTAACAGTTCCAAGACGAAAATGTTTGACTCCATGGTCATGAACGCTTATTCTCATTACACTTGGTGCTGCACGCAGGGAGAATGTGTTGTTACAGGAATGAAAGGTGTGAAACAATTTGAAAACTATTATTTGACCGTACCAGTCGTTCATTCTCGAGACCAAAAATACGGTCGAACAGACATGGGACAAATGGGGATAGATAACTTCTTTGCTAATCACCAGTGTAACGATTTCTGTCGGAACCTGCCACGGTTGGATGAACTGGCTTGCTTTCCAAAAGACTGTGACCTTGATCTTGTAGCTTTTCAGCTAGAAAGCGCGGGATTTTTCACCAAGAAAATGAATACAGAATTTCTCGCATCGCCAAGAAAAATTGGCTCGACTGTTCATTGCGATAAACCTAGTCACTGTGTTTGTGAATTCTTCCGCCTCCCTTGCCCACACAGGATTGAACACACTTCCGGATTAATTTATGCGATCAATCGTTCGTTTGTCCAAGAAAAGAGCAGATAATTTTGCATTCGATACGAATTTTTAACACAGAAGTCAATTTAGAGAAAACACACGATATTAGAAAATGAACAATTAATCTACGCATATCATGCATGTACTCTTGGATATCATCTCTAAGGTGCTTTTAGCGCAAATTTACTTTCAAGGTTAACATGACTTTTTCATGCTTCAATTGTCCGGCGAAGCTGAGTGTGAGCAGTGCTGACGTCATCAGAATCAACCTTGAGTAATTTACCTTCTAAACCACCCCTCAAACTAGACTATAAATAAAGTCAGATTTGGAAGAGGGATGATAGCTGGTCGTTTACCTTTTACTGTAACATATGTACAATTTTCCCGTATACGTACTTAGATTTTTTATTGAATTTTAAAGATGTCGGAATGTATCTTATCCTTGGTTTTGAGTGAAGTTGGCAGAAATTTAGCACGTTATTAAAACATCTGGTCAGTTGATCAACTATTCTAAAAGATTAATATTTGTGCTCCTATCAATGTTGCACACTGAATGAGTGGACTTTATGTTGTTCCTTTACTTTTAAGTTGAAGGGTTTTTACGGGATTTACTCTAATTCCATGATTGTGTATTAGTCAAATCAATAGATGACTGAATTTTAAGATGGGTGCTCACTTACCTAAATAAATATCTCAAACGGAAAATTTGTAGTATGGACAGTTCAGAGTCCTGCTTAAAATAGGAATACATTATTCTAAGCATATACCTTATTTAAAAAAAATGGCTGAATCTTTTGTTATGTCTTTTTTGATACCAAAGTTGTTGATATTATTAATTATTGCAGTGTTTGTTATTAGTATTTGTTAATAAAAGTTGTTTTCTGTTAAAATCGTATTGCGATGAATGATACATTAAAGGTTTCGATTCAATCTGAATATTTTTGTTATAGTTTTTGAGATAAATTATAAATGCAACGATGCCGAGCTCGCTCGCTCTCTCTCTTTCTCTCGCGGCCTTTTCCGGCTGTTCCACACGTCTTTAACATTAGTGTCTTATTGTAAGATATCCAATCCTCTCTAATAATCAATATAATATTTTTACCTACATGTAAATGAAAGAACAGTGATCAAATTTACAAATACAGTAGACAAAACGAGTGATATATCAGTACCCCATCGTCGCATACCCACGGGTGATCTCGTCTTTTACTCATCACCCGTGGGCAAACTCGCCGAAATATCGTCGTAAAATATGCTAATTGTTGATTATAGACAACCAATCCGAAAATTGGAGCTCTTCAATTTTGAAAATACGTTTATTAAATTGCTATTTATGCTTAATAAATTGACATTCGTTAAAAGGTGCAATTTTTTTTTCTTTAAAACGTTTAAAACAAAATGTACAGGTCACTTACATCAAATACCAGGAAGAAATTACATCAGTGGGAGTACCTTAAGTTTCTCAAACTGCGAAATGCACCGATGAGTGGATTTATTTGCAATCCGTGTGTTAACCACGGAAAAGTTCTTGTCATTGCCGAACACACATAAACTTTAATTTGTTGATTTGCCATCGCGACTCTGTGGAGAAGCCAATCAAATTACCCGCGCATATTAATTACATACTACGATTTTTCGGCGAGTTTGCCCACGGGTGATGAGTAAAAGAGATCACCCGTGGGTATCTGACGATGTCAATACCCATTCTTTAAAAAAAAAAAATTACTTTATAATATTTCTGTGGTTCTGCATTGTGACGTCTTATTAATACTTCATATTTACATTCCACATGTATTTTCCGGATTTTTTGAAAGATATAATCTCATAACTGCAACGGTGTGTGCAAACAAATTTTCATAACGCGCGTTTCTAAATTTGTTTGCACATACCGTTGCAGTTATGAGACTATATCTTTTGAAAAATAATAATTCAATGCTTATAAAGATTGCAATCAATTGTTAATTATTAGTATGATTTCATATTTGAAACTCTAAATAATTTCACATTTCAAGTCAGTTTTGGAGGCATAGAAACCTTAGGTTACCTCATAAAGTATCTGCTTCAATGTACAAAAATTACGATAATTTTTGTTTCCAGATGTTCAGGTTCACGTTAAGTCAAATTGAACTCGGTGGAAAGGTTCTGCAAATAATATTATATGATAACTTAAGATAACATAAGCTATCTTTAATGCTAAAGTTTTTAAACTAAAATTAAAAGCTTATCGATACTTGAAGTATATGTTATAATCAAAAAGAAAATGCAAGCATCAAGAGAAAAATTAAAGCTCGTTCAAAAACAATTTCTGTAGATGTCAGACATTTGTTTGATGGGTTGTGATCATTTACCAAATTTATCCAAAGTCAGTAATAAATAAAAATGTTACATGTATCATGCGCGGATCTAGAAGGGGGGGGGGGTCGTAAAAGAAAATCTACCAAGAAATGAAATTGCTGTACAAATGGACCTTGCCAAAAATTACACCTGTAAAACACTGCCGAAATAAAATAGCTTAATATTTGAATCAATGCCCAGTTACAAAACACCCAGTTGTTGTGTATTTCAGAAATGCATCGAATTTAAACACAAAAAGATTGCGTTATCTCAGACGAACTCTCTAACTATACCAGTACCGTATGCTCATTCTAAGATGTTCTTAGACTTAACTCCCAATTTAAAACTCTATGCCCCAGTGTTCAAACTGTTCACTACTGGACAGATATAGTCCATCGAGTCGGTACCGCAACAAAACAATTTTTAATTTTGTGGCAGAAGTAAGGGTTAATGTACGAGTAGCGCTCCATTTCTTAAAAGTAATGGAACCGAGGCCCCGAAAGGGCCGAGGCCCATTGCTTTTAAAGAATGGAGCGCTACGTGTATATTAAGGTTGAGGCTATCTGGTACCGCTTGCAGGGTTACTAGCAGGAGTTATCTCTCCATAAGTGCGTACGAGTTATCTCGCATTTCAACGGTGATATACATGAATTTGTACCCTTATTAAAAAGTTCCGCATCAATCGTTCTCTAGAAAGGTTACTGTTTATTTGATATGTAAAACGTAATAATTAAGAAAAAGAAAGGGAGAGAGACAATTAAAGTCCTCTAATTCCTGATTTGGGAGCATACAGTGCATTCGAACTTAGGGGTGGAGTGGGAGTGGGTATCGTCCCAATGATTTTCACATTGTATAATATTCACTTGAAAAGAAAGATGTCTTTCGGAGCTCCCCCCCCAAAAAAAAAAACATGTATGATGAAGTTTATTTTTTCATTTATTTAATTATTCTTTTATATGTACATATTTATTTTTATTTATTTATTTATTTTTGTAAATACTAAATACATACTCAAGACTGCCATGTTTTCAGTTCCTTTTTGTTGTTATTCTTTTCTTTTGACAAATGTTCACTCGCCTTGTCATTCTCGCGGACATGGCATGATAATCGAACGTCTTTCTTCTTGAAATTGAAACTCTTATATTAAATTAAATTACAAAAATTCACTAGGGAACTTTGAATCCCCCTCCATGTATCAGGGAATGCCGGTATGCAAAGACTCTACATAGGCCTTTTATTAAATACTTATTTTCAATTTAATCAAGGGTCGAAAGAAAGTGTTTTTGAATGTCTCCAAGTTATTAACAGTTCTCTCTGTGTCTCTCTCTCTCTGTGTGTCTCTCCCTCTCTCTCTGACGGTAGTGAATTCTGCCCCAATCCGTGCTTACTGTGTTCTACACTTAATCTAATTTTCAGACACCCTTTATTAGCTTTCTAGTCATCATCTTCTAATTCAAAATTTTTTTTCTGTTTTTCAAAAATATATTTCATCTCATATTTTCACAGTGAACATAACAATTCCATGATAATCTTGTACAATTTACCAATAATGATAGCGTTTAGAACATTAGTATTTCAATACTATCCCCCCAAAAAAATTCGGCTTCTATATGTATGCCCCCTACTTCCGATGAAAAAAACTAAAATTCTGAAACCAGTATTCAATAGTCAAATTTATTTTCTTTAATTTTTCTTTAATGCATAATATGAATAAAGGAATGTTTAACGCCGAGAATCAACATGTAATAGTTCTAAATATGTGTATAAAAGTTAGGACATACTAAAGTCAACTCTACCGACCGCCTAAGTTTTGCTCAGACTGTACATTCTTAAGTCCTTCTTAAGCATGGTCTTAGACTTAAGTACTCTTTATGTTAGGACCCCCAGAAAATGAAACTGCCCACCTCTAACAGGTACTACATTATGTAGCTTGTACCTGTAACACGTACAGATATCAAGTTATGATACTACCTTCCTACAGGTACCAGATTTCAAAGCTACCTATCTCTAACAGTTACCAGTCTTCAAAGCTACCTACCTGTAACAGGTACCAGATTTCAAAGCTACCTACCTCTAACAGGTACCAGATTTCAAAGCTACCTATACCTCTAACAGGTACCATATTTCAGATTTCAAAGCTACCTTCCTCTAACAGGTACCATATTTCAGATTTCAAAGCTACCTTCCTCTAACAGGTACCAGATTTCAAAGCTACCTACCTCTAACAAGTACCAGATTTTAAAGCTACCTACCTCTAACAGGTACCAGATTTCAATGCTACCTACCTCTAACAGGTACCATATTTCAAAGCTACCTACCTCTAACAGGTAACAGATTTTAAAGTTACCTACCTCTAACAGGTACCAGATTTCAATGCTACCTACCTCTAACAGGTACCAGATTTTAAAGTTACCTACCTCTAGCAGGTACCAGATTTAAAGGCTACCTACCTCTAACATGTACCAGATTACAGGACTAGCTATCTCTTACAGGTACCAGATTGCAAAACTATCTTCTAATGCTACTGCTAGTAATATCTATTATTTACCAGATAATGAATCTACCTACCTCTAACATTAGATTTTGAAGTTTCTTACTTGTAAGAGGTACCATATTATAAAGCTACTCACCTCTAACAGGCAACGGGTTTTAAAAAACTACCTACCAGCATGAGGTACCAGATTATGAAGTTCCCTACCTGTAAGAGGTACCAG